TGTCCCGAAACGAGCGGTACCATAGAGAAGTAGGGAAGGAGAGGCCGTCTCACGGCCGCCCGCGCCGCCGCTCTCTATGGCGAGGCCTCCGCGGTACCCTGCCCGCCTGGGGCTCCCCGCATCAGCATCATCCCTGCGGCTGCTAATTGCGTGCGCCCCTTTATTGCCAAGAGCGATTAACTGCGGAGGTCTCCCGGGGGAAACCGAAGCCCAGACTGGTTTTAACCATCCCCCTGCGCGGCCGTCCGCCCCTCGCCAAGAGAAACCCACGGCATCCCCTCGGTAAAGGACAGAACAGTAGTTCCAGAGGCAGCGGATAAACGCTGCTGCCAGGGCTCCGGCCCCAGCCTCCCCCACCGTCCCTGCTTTATTTCCTCCTTAATCCCCATCACTTGGCTCATTTCGAATGCAACTCCTCACACCGCCCATGCAGGAGCACCCCGTCTTGCTTCAGCCCCTGTGCAGAACACCGGGCAGGGAAATCATCTCAGCAGGCCCAGGAGATGTTTAAGGGTTGTACAGGCGCCAAAGCATGCAGGCGAGCACTAACGGGGCTTTTTAAAAGCAATTAAGACCGAGAGGCATTTACAGCAGGAAGCCGATTTTAATAAGGGTCATAAAACCCACACGCTTTCTCACATGGTCTCGAAAATTAGTTCATGGCTTTCTGCAAAGGCATGCTGAGAGCGGAAGCTCTGCGCCCGCTCCTTCAGGGTGCTTGCAGCAGGGACCGGGGTTTCTGATGGCTTTAAAGCCTGTGCCCGTGCTCCAAGCCCGCAGCCTTAGCCCAACACAGCAATTACCAACCCATTGCCTAGAAAGGCGAGGCTGGAGGCTCAGTTCCAAATATCAGCTTTGATACCATCCACAAAAAGAGTTGACTTTAAATTTGGAGCGTCGCTCGAGGCAGAAATTTGGGGTGTTCTGAGCACAGGTCAGAAATCTCCCTTTTCCCCAGAAGTCTCCCTTTTCCCCATTAACCTCTGCTCTATCTGCCGCTTCTGACAGGGAATAAGCCACCTATTTCCCAAATCACAAGTCACCTCCCACTGGCTGAAGGACCTGTGGACACTTGCCTTTAGATGGCACTGCGTTAAACAACATCCATGAAATCCAGCTCTGAAAAAGGCTGTTGCTCCCACCGGTGCTTAGAAACATTTTGGGACTCGTGTCTTTGCAACAGGGGAGGAGAAAGAGCGTTTTGTGCCCGCAAGCGGGGACACGCGAGGCTGAGATTACCCCGTCTGAACCAAAATCACCGCTAACGCACGCTCACCCCGCCCTCGCTGGAGCCAGGAGCACTATTAACTTGGCACATTTAGCATAATTTAGCTCCGATGCTCAATTAAGAAATTAATCATGGGGGCAGGAGGGCAGCTCTGGGGAGGGTCTCTGCCGCCCCCGAGCCCCGGGGTGGCCGCCCCGGGAACACTCGGGTCATTTGGCCCACCCACCCCCCTCCAGTTCCCCCCCCACCCACGGACCCAGTGTAACCCGTGCTGGACGGGCGAGAATTCGCCCTTTGGATGTTTCACAATGTCCTGGATCAATAAACCTGCATGGGGCCGGTTAGAGGTGACACGGCGATGCCACCAGCCCGGGACACCAGCATCCCCCGGGCCCCAGCCCAGGATAAACCAGTAATTCCCTTCTTCTGATGCCAAAGGGGTGAGACTGGACGGGTCCGGGGCCAGCTTTCCCCGCCCCCGAGTCTGGATCTGCTACACGGGGACACGCCGTGGCCGTCCCGGCTCCGGCCCCATGTCACAGCAGCCACGCGGGGACCCTTCTCCAGCGGGTCTGAGGATGTCCCTGCACTCAGTGAAGGAGAATGGGGCGTTCTCCTTCTGTGCCCACGGGAGGGCAAACACCACGGGCTGCCCACTGCAACCCTTGCCCCGCCATGGCCCAGGACCGGAGCAGAGCACCCCTGTGCCTCGGGACACATTTGCAATCATGTCACTTATAAATCCCGGCTGGGGGGCTGGGGGGTCCAGCCCTGGTGGGGGGGACAGCACGAACCAGGGAGCGAAACCCCGGGCTCAGAGCAAAGCCTCACAAAGCCCAGAGCCAGCACTGACTCCCGCGCTGGTCCCAGTTGGGCCGGTTGCCTTTTCTGCTGCCAGCTCCCCACCATGACGCTGGGCTGGACTTTGTCCTCAGTCTTGCAGGTCTGGGAGAGCAGAGTGTCCCAGAGAAGCCAGACACGTCATCCCGGGGGGGCTGGAACCAGCCACGTGAGCATCCCACCCGCTGGCAGCAGCTCAGTGGGCTGAGTTCACCCTCCCTGGACAGGGAAAGTCTCCCAAGCCCCAGAGACCTGCCTGCCTCCGGCAGGTGATCCTCCTGCTGAACTCTTGCAATAGCAACAATCAGGTCACCTCCGGCACCCCAATACGGACACCCCACGTGGGGCGAGGGTCTTTCCCCCAGCCCTGCCTCAGGCACCGCAGGATACGAGTATGACTTGCTCCAGCAACAAAACCTCATAATAAAGAAGATCCACCTCAACGTGTTAAGGCTGAATTTGCCAAATCATTGTTCCTAGAAGGGACTGATTTACCCCAAAGTCAGGCAAAGCGCAGGCAGCAGTGACACAACCCCCTCCCCACGATCCACCCCTTCCCTGAGCCCCCGACCACACATTTGCAGCCCCTTCCTACAGACCCCGTCGGTTCTCAGCCAGGAACCAGCTCTGGATGCCCCGGACATGGTGCCGCATCCCCAGCCGCATCCCCCATGGTCCTGCTGCAGGGAGGCTCCAGCCAGCAGACGGGGGGGTTCCTCTCCCCAGGCATGAAACCAGAGCGGAGAAAATTAAGCCCTGGCTGGGAATAACTGGGGGCGACCCCCCTTTTTCTGTCCCCGGCATTGCACCACCTGGCTCTCCTCCCGCGGTGGCTCCGTGTGTCATTACCCAGCCAAAAGCAAGACATCGAGGAGAGATGTTTCCTATGCGACAGCTTTATGGAAGCGTGTGTCTGTGTAGCCCCGATCCTGCTAAATCAATCCCTGCCGCAAGTCCCCGCAGGAAGCAGCCCCCCGAATCCTGGGGCCCCCGTCCTCACTGGATGCCCACCAGCTCCGTTATGGGGGGAGCATGGACCATCAGCTCTTCGTATCTCCGGAGGAAGAGCCAGAGCCTGGAGGTGTAGGTGTCCTCGTTGTATGGCAGCTTCTTTTGCTTCAGGTACTGGGAGACGATGGGTTTGATCTGCAAAGGCAAAGGCAGAGACACCCCCGTGCGGGATGTCCCGGCGTTTGTACAAGGTTCCCAGCCTGAGGCATCGCCGGGCTCCCTGCAAGGTGCCCAGAAAACCCGTCCCACATGCCCAAAACAGGGCTGGAGAAGGCAGCAACAGCTATAACATCTTTGCCGTGAAAATTAAGAGGAAGGTGGTTTCTGATTGCAGCAACATGGGGAGTTCGCCCTGGCAAAACACCTTTGCAGGGCTCCAAATTAGGAGAGATGCCCTAACGAGGCTTTTAATGAGGGCCAGCCACGCATGCTCATCACTTGCACCCATAGCTACCCCCATGTGCCCACACAGCTGGCTCGGCGGTGCGGCTGGCACCAACTTAATTACCCCTTCCCTGCAACACGCCTTTGCGGGAGGCAGGTCCTACCAGCCCCGTGAGCTCGAGCAAAAGCCGTGACCCAAAACCCACTGGTGCTCCAGCTCCCTCTATTACTTGTACTTAATTTTTCCCCCCGACTTGAGACTGAAAATATGTGCACAGCATTAAATGAGTGGAGATCCCGTGCTGAAGGGCAGCGCAGGGACCTGCCTTGGGATCCCCCTCGAGCCGGGGCAGCGCTCGGAGCCCACGTTTTGAACACACCCCACACCTCAGAGCAACAAGAAAGGGCACGACCAAAATTATAGGGAGATTTGCCTGGACACCAGCTGAAATGAATGCCAGACTGGAGATGCTTTCCCAAGGGAAGAGTTGGGAGGATCCAGGATCTCCAGGAGGCTGCTACAGGCTGGAATTGGGACCAGGGGAAGGAGCAGGGAGTGGAAACCCAGGAGAGACAAGAGTGGGGATGGAGGGAGGTGGGTTAGGGGCTGTTGCAGAGCAG